CTATAATAATATGCATTTACCAATATAGTACACATTTTGCACACGAACATTATTATTCATACATTGCGTTTAGCCTATTATCTTCGTCTGATGTTTTTTGCTGCTCCAATATTTTAAATGTATTTTGTTACATATCTTACTAATATCTTGAGATACTGCTGGATCAATTTTGATTATATAAAAAGTATTTTTTTAATAGTTTAGCTGCATTAAGTGCTTGTTTGATGCTTGGTGGAGGGACAGGATCGTCTTCTTCAACAACGTACACGGCTGCAGTTCTTATCTATTTCGGCAACTTGGAAAGTACTGCTCAATGATTTATAATGCCGCATTGTTGCCGTTAAATAGAGTGAGCGTGACGCTATATAGGGTGTAATATTGTATAGAAAACAATGTAAACCAACCAAAGTCAAGCAACTTCGACGTTTTAAAGAGTTTGTCGTTAAATCGAGTGACGTTACAAAAGAGTTTACACTGTATATATAAATCGAGCTTTCCCAAATAGATTACATCTGCAGTTAGCTACATATATGCTAATTTTTTTAATTTAAAATTGTTAACAACTTAAATTCTTTTAATCATTAATGTTTTACTGAGAAATTTCCGGATGAATTAATCCTATTTTAATGATCTCAATTTCCTGATGCCTTTTTCCTTTCTTTACCTATAAACAGCCATGTACAAAATAAATGGCTTCTATGTCACCATCTCAAACGTTTGTATTAAAAAATTGGTAGCTATTTATGAAACGGTTTCAACTGAACAGTTCACAGATTATTAGACCGGATAAAGACCCTGGCCGTGACCACGTATTTAGGGCTTCCCGTATACCTTTCGAACTCACTTGCGTGAGAATATCCTTGGTCGGGTGTGACGTTAAATTGTTCGTCAAACGCTTCCCGCGCAAATAAGGGTTGAGACGAAGTTCTCAACTCGTTTAGAAAAAATTTCATTTTAAAGCTGGAAATCTGATAATGAATAATGTTTTATTTCAATGTCAAATAGAAGTATGAATGAACTTAGACACGCGATTATGAACCACACATATTATATCTATGTAGGTGTGTATGTACATATTTGTAATTAAATTAATTAAAGTACGGTTTTATTTTAGTTATCAAACTTTCTCTGATATCTTGTAAATAAAAAATCAAAAGCCGAATAGGGTTGAAGGTTTATATTCCAATTATTTAATCATAAGGCTTATTCGCCGAATTATTAATATAACAATAATTTAATAATTTAAATTCTAAAACTTACCTTGAAAAAGTATTACACTTAGGGGCGAAACGTTGGGCGTTGGCTTTTTTATAAACTGTATCCTTACTATCCGTAATTGCTCTGATTATTTATAATAAATTAAGTTTATCATGGTTTAAAAATATAAAAACCTTGTGAGACGAAGACAAATATAAATCTTTAGTACGTTCCAAGTATTACTCGGTTGCCAAACCGAGTACACTATTGAATTACTCGGATCAGTTTTGGGCAAAGAAACAAACACAAACCCGTAACCGATTACCAAGTATTGCCGATTTTATGTTTGTGAAACCGAGTATTCCACCGAATTACTCGGTTCAGTATATACGCACCGTCTTAGGTACGAAACTATATACAAACCTGTAACCGATTATCAAGTAATACCGATTTTATGTTTGCCAAACCGAGTATTCCACTGAATTACTCGGTTCAGTATATAAGCAGCGTGTTAGGCACGAAACCAAATGTAAACCTGTTACCGAGTAATGAGTATTAATCGGTTATATATTTTCCAAACTGATTACTTTACCGAATTACGCAGTTCAGCTTATACGCAGCGTCTTAGGTACGAAAATATATACAAACCTGTAACCGATTACCAAGTATTACCGATTTTATGTTTGCCAAACCGAGTATTCCACCGAATTACTCGGTTCAGTATATACGCAGTGTCTTAGCTACGAAAATATACACAAAACTGTAACCGAGTACCAAGTATTACTCGGTTTTATGTTTGCCAAACTGAGTACTCTACCGAATTACTCGGTTCAGTATATATGCAGCGTCTTAGGCACGAAAACAAATGTAAACCTGTTATCGAGTAATGAGTATTAATCGGTTATATATTTTCCAAAGTGATTACTCTACCGAATTACGCAGTTCAGCTTATACGCAGCGTCTTAGGTACGAAAATATATACAAACTTGTAACCGATTACCAAGTATTACCGATTTTATGTTTGTGAAACCGAGTATTCCACCGAATTACTCGGTTCAGTATATACGCAGCGTCTTAGGTACGAAAATATATACAAACCTGTAACCGATTATCAAGTATTACCGATTTTATGTTTGCCAAACCGAGTATTCCACCGAATTACTCGGTTCAGTATATATGCAGCGTCTTAGACACTAAAACAAATCTAGACCTGCAACCGAGTACCGAGTATTAATCGGTTTTATGTTTTCCAAACTGAGTATTTGCCGAATTACTCGGTTCAGTTAGTACAGAAAAGGACATAGGGTACTTTTTTTACAGCAAAAAAAAAAATACTAAAAGTACTGTTTCCGAGGGATATAAAAATTAGTTTTATGTGGTCGTCGATGATATTTGACACGTATTATGACATCAATTTGAGCGAAGTCGCGGGTAAAAGCTGGTATTTGTATAAAGAAAGTTAATCGCTAAAAAATCAAGAGCCGAAATAGTTATATTGAATAATTGATAAAATTTAAAGAAGAACTGATTTTCGACGTTTTGCCATTCAATATGTCAACGTTTTTTAACATCAATAAAATATTCATGTTGTTTAAGTTAAAATCTATACAATTTGATTTTTGACTTGATGTTTTAAAACATCAAGAAGACAAGACAAATGTTGGTAAATTTCGTTATTTGAGGGTTAAGATGCCGGTTTGATCCCTAGAGGAATGAATTTTAAAAAAGCTTTCTAAGCAAGCACTTAGGACTTCCCAAAAATTTTCAATCTCGTATATCAAGGTCGTTCCACGGATAGAGCGATCAGTCACCGACTGAAGTTACACGTTTAAGCTAAGCTTTTTTGAGAACTTCTTCGTTTTAAGTAAGCGCATCTATTTTGGTAAGAAATGACTACGGACGTTTTGCAGAACTTTAAAGTACAGAAATATATAAAACTTTACATAAACTCGTACACAGCAGTAGAAGTATTAGATTTGAAATTTACTAGATGAAAAAGTAGCTTCCGCCCTATTGGACTGATTTTAATAAGTGAGATGGCAATGTAATGTAAAAATCTCGCGACAGATGACGCTCCTAATTAATCAATCAGATATAAATATTATGAACAATATTTGGTAAAATGAATCTGCTCAGACATTTAACTGAAATTTATTTAAATATTTTTATTACACCGATATTATGTTATTAACAAATAATGCTTTTTACAGGGAATTTCCCAAGAGCTGATCTGGTATGCAGTGGAGGAAATTGGCTCGATATAAGATCAGCTCTGGTCGTTCGCGCACGCGCAGTATGCTTTGCTGCGGACGTAGAACGAAGGTAAGTAAAATCATTAATTAGTCAATTAATCAACAATTAATTCAGCTGTCATCTCAAGCTTGTCGAAAAACAACTCTTCGAAACTATAAAGTTATTAAGAAGTTCTTTCTTCATTGAAGGATCTACCGAGTTACTGAAAGTTGTCGGTATGATGCAGGCGTAGTCGTGTCTGGGCGCAAATCGACGATAAATAAATAATGAAAACGGATGTTCGCTTTACAACGATCCATTTTATGTTATACGAAATTCTGATATCGTTCTTCGTATTTGGCATAAGTTGTAATCCTCATCGCGTAAAACAATCACACAAAAGAAAGACATTCACATATTTCTCATCAATTTTTAAATTCGATAATGTTAAAGTTGCAATTTTGTCTTCGAATGTGAAGAGGTAGATGGCCCATTTCTCCGATAATTATTTTCTTCAGTTTCCTATAAATATTTACTTGGTTTTGCTGAATTATTAGTTCTTTAAACTTTTGCTGACGAATTTTTAGTTTTGAAATAGGTATTATATGTATTTACACTAGTCGCAACCCATCCAAATTTGGACAGTACCAATGAGGGTGATGCATTGCACTGGGGAACGTTCCCAACATAGCCTTAACTTAACCCTGAATGTCATTCGAACGTATGCAACCAACTTTACACTCGAATGTACACATTTAGACCCCTCAACTTTTTACAATCTAATCGAATACGCTAAAATTTGGGTTTTTTTTATTAAAGATTTTGATTAAATGAAATTATTCTGATATTGATATTGATACTAGACATGAGCAAACCTTCGATTTTTTTATACGTTTTAATTGTCAGTTATCTCCATGATTAAAGATTACGATTACAATTACACACACATACTAAAGTGGTAAAAAGAACGACATCTTCCGGTCTGTGATACCATCCGGGACGAATCCCTTAAACGACCCCATTGTTTACACCACTGATTACTAGGCAACTATAAGACTTTTCAAACTAATTAAACTCATAATTGAAGGGATTTTTTCAGTATTTTTATAGACGATGTTTTCATACGATATAGAAATATTACATGAAGGCATTTTAAATTTAACCCACTTGTGACACATAAAATACAAATTTTCTACCAAAAGTCAAAAACCTCCATTATTAAAAGCAGTTTTAATATTTTTTATGTCGTGATCTTGTTCCTTAATTAATGTCAATTCTGTGAAGGCCCGAAACTGTTTCACATTGTGTTGTTTCGTAACTGACGGGGTAGCAATTGATTATAAGTTTTGAAAAATAACCGATAGTGGATATTCTAACATACGCTAAGGTAGATACGAGGGTGGATTGATAAGTTTCCGGCCTGACCAAGAAAAACAAGGTTTTTAAAAATTTTTTTTTTTTATTTCTCAACATAATCTCCAAGGCTGATACATTTCTCATAGCGGTGTTCCAGTCTATTAATGCCATCTCTATAGACTGATTCGTCAAGCTCCTCAAAATAACCATTTACAGCTTCGATTACTTCTTCATTGTCCGCAAATCTCTTACCGCCAAGCCATTTTTTGAGATTAGGGAACAGAAAATAGTCACTCGGGGCTAGGTCTGGAGAGTAAGGAGGGTGCGGCATCAATTCAAACTTTAGATCGTTGATTTTAGCCGTCGCAACGATTGACGTGTGCGCTGGTGCGTTATCGTGATGAAACAAGATTTTTTTCTTCGCCAGATGAGGTCGTTTAATTTTCACCTCGTGGCTCAAACGTTGCAATAAGTCTGCGTAGTATTGACCAGTGATAGTATTACCCTTTGCAAGGTAATCAATGTATATAATACCTCTTGCATCCCAAAAAACAGTAGCCATAACCTTGTTCGCCGAAAAAATTGTTTTTGCCTTCTTTGGAGTTGGTTCCCCTGGTCCAATCCACTGTTTAGACTGTTCTTTGGTTTCAGGAGTGTAGTGGTGGACCCACGTTTCGTCAACGGTTACGAATCGACGCAAAAATTCGCTTGGATTACGCTTATACAATGACAAATTTGCGGTAGAAATGTTTTTTCGAATCAATTTTTGGTCGACTGTTAGCAAACGCGGCACCCATCTTGCACAGAGCTTTTCCATATGCAAATGTTGGTGCAAAATATGTTGCACACGTTCATATGACATCTTACAGGTCTCAGCTATCTCACGCACTTTCAATCTGCGGTCTCCCAGCACTATTTGATGAATTTTTTCGATCATATCTGGAGTTGTGACCTCAACGGGGCGTCCTGAGCGAGGCCCATCAGAGGTGCTCACACGACCCTTTTTAAACTCGGAAACCCACTGCTTAACGGTTGAATATGACGGGGAGGATGTCCCCAGTGTTGAGTCCATCTCTTTTTTAATTTCCTTCGGCGTTAACCCCTTCAAATAAAAGTATTTGATGACAGCACGATTTTCCTGCTTTTCCATTTTTACGAAAACCACAGAGGCGTCTTGTTCAGCGTGCTGTCAAACCTACACTAGCAAGGAGATCGGGCTGAAACTATAGCTACAAGCTATCCAAGGATGGTACTATAGAATGTCACCTCAAGGTAGGCCTAGTGGCGTCATCTCTTGGTTAGGCCGGAAACTTATCAATCCACCCTCGTATTTCGAATAGGTGTACAAAGACGTTGCTCGGTTACCCACAAAAGAAAATGTAGAAAATATATTTTATCAATATTATTTTCGATTCGTCAAAAGACATAAAGTGCCTAGTGAAATGCCCTGTGCAGTAAAATAGTCCGTAATTACTTTTAACGACCAGTTCCGAAGTCAAACGCTACAAAAGATAGTTACAACGTGCAATATATAGCATACATTAGGGTTCGATAGGGATCGCTTAACGATAAAATAAACACGTGACAAATACGGAGAATTTAGAAAAGTTTGTGTTTAAACCAAAAGTAATTAAAGGACATTAAGTTCGTAGTCAGTAATTTATCGAAAATAATAGATGTGGATTGCGATTTCTACTGTCATGAGTTCCCATCAGCACGCCACAGGTAGTTTCTATAAATCATCATTCGCAATCTAGTGCTGCCATTATAACCTACCTACATTTTGATATCATAAAAAAGGGACAGACAGACACACGAGTGATCCTACTTATAAGAGTTCCGTTTTTCATTCGGACGTACGGAACCCTAGCTCGAGAAACAACGTTGTAGTTGAAAAGAAACATATTCTCCCATATATTGTTTTGTTGAAAGATTTACCACGTTATGCTTAGACCACAGAATTCTTATTAATTTCTCTGTAATCTATAAGTAAAGAACTATTTTCTGTATTTTTTTATAATATATTTTAGGTTCAGTAGTTTCGGAGATGAGAGGGGAATGGTCAATTTGTATCTATTTTATTAAATACCTTTCAAAGTATTTATATTAAAATTATATAACAAAATATACATATATTTGAGATCGTTACAACAAGCCCTTTCATTTGATATGTTACACGCTACAGTTTACAAAACTTTTTTTTTAATTGCCTATTGGCCCCCCAAAAATGACCCCCACGTTCAAAATTAATTTATTTACGTTACCCGTCTATGCTTGGATGACAAAAACTCATATGTGTACTAAACTTCAACTTTATTGGTCCAGTAGATTCGGAGCAAATCGACTGTGATAGACGGTCAGACAGAGCTTTAAGGGTTCCGATGTTCACGGAACCCTAATAAAATTATGGTTTACAGTTTAAATATACTGACGTATGAAATCTGACTTCAATACTTTGACTATATGCACAGAACGTAAATTAAAAATTTAAAAAGATCTGAACGAAATAATGAAGTTGCATTATCTCCTCTTCAGAAGTGGGATATTTTGTTCAAATTTAAATGGAACCTAACCTAACCCACCCAATAAAAAAATAAATTGAATAACATGCACAAAAAGATAAAGCGGAATTAAAAACTTTTTTTTTGAAGTCTTAATTCTTTTTCAGAAAATACTACAAACGGCACAGTGAACGCCATCTGTAGCACGATGCTACATTTTAGGATTACGTATTTTTCAACAAGGTCCACTTGTGTGAATATCTACTTGCTGAAAACGAATCCCGGCGTAGCCAACCTCAACGTGATAGGCACGTTAGCTTAATCGAATAAAATAATTCGTAATCCTAAAATGTAGCATCGTGCTACAGATGGCGTTCACTGTGTCGTTTGTAGTATTTTCTGAAACGCACTGTTAAGACAGCAGGTAAAAGTTGGTCTGTGTTCTGTCGGAGCTGCCTGCGACGCGCTGATGAGATCCAAAAAGATCGAAATCGCGATCCGCGTCTGGCAGTTTCTACAGAATACAGACCACTTCGAATTATTTTAATTCTTTTTGTTCATTTTCTTTTATATTTGGCACATTACCATTTAGGTAACTATTTCAAAGACATGTATGTACTAGTAAATTACTACGCTTACTTTCAAAAAATTTGTCCTCATTTACAGCAGCTTGCAGGTGCTTAATTTGTTTTGAATTAATTCGGTCGCCATAATAATTATTTCATTCCTCCTCCCCTACATTCGGTAGAGTAGTAGGTACGAATTAGAATGGACTAAATAAAAGTAGGTTTTCTGGGTCAAATTTAATTTTATAAAACAGCATTTTTTTTTGTTGTAAGAGAACGCGAAAGCGGACGAGGTTCTGCACCCTTCTCGCCGTATTTGTTCAAGTGACGTATGCCGGAAAGCTCCGCTCGGTCGCCCGCCCGCATTGCAAAGCTCGCGTAATAGTCGGTTCGTTCATCAGCCACTAGATCCCCGCGAAAAGAGTCCTCGACACTGTCCCGAGTCAAAGGATTAAAAATTAAAACCGTCGAGTTTCGATGTTGCAACGACAGCTGCAGCAGCAGTTGCAACGGCGGCCGCGGCGGTAGCAAGGGAGTGAGGCAAATTGTAAAAACCATTCATATTCGTTCATTCCATTCCCTTATAATGAACGTGACACGATCGTAGTACGAACCTAGTACACACGCTATCGTAATTAGCGTAAAAACACGTCAACCGACGGAGCTT